AGCTGCCTTCCCTCTAGTCTTACACTGCTAAATTAGGGATGACTAGCGCGCAGATATCCCTCGTGTAGCTTTGCGCGAAATTTAAAACAAACAAACAACACAGTGGTACCATACTTGATCTGCCCTCGTCTTATACTCCACTTCAACTGAATATGAATGAAGGTTCAAAAATGAGAAATTTAACCCATTTGACTTGTACTCCACATTGATTTATAGGCTGAAAATGTGGTAAGGCTTTTAGCCATCTCGTGAGACTAATTTATTAGTTGAATGTAATTAATATATTATCCCAACGATTAATCACCCAGCTCTAGTATTAGCTAGGATGGTCAAGTTGTTGAAAGGTTGTGAACTGAAAAGGCTTAGCAACCCTTGCTTTCCAAGCCTGGAGCGATAATATACGATACTGTGTGTAGTATATGATACAACTAATTCCTTTCTTTCTATGCTATTGAGTGATGATGCAAATCACAATGTGTGTACTACATTGTGTAATAACCACTAATACCAAACTATGATGATCATTTGGTTGAGAGCAGAGTTAGCCCTAGGCAAAATTGTGGCCTGTGTAAACTTTATATTTGGCACCCATACCCCCTGTAAAATTGGCAAGAACTGCCAATTGCAATATTGATTTTGACCCCTCTTAGAATGGGTGACCTATCCATTAAATATTAATATAGTTAAGTACTATTCATAAGGTGAAATTTGTTCAGTATACTAACATTACCTTATGTATTTTTTATTATTCTGCTTGAAAATGTGTAGAGTAAATATTTCCAATCTGGCTTCTTAAAATAGTTGAAGAGCCCTGTAGCACCTCTTATGTATTAGCTAGGCCAGTAATTTGGTTATGCCACCAACCACTGAGAAGACTAAGCAACTCTTGCCTTCCAAGCTCCAGGTTGGTGACATATCATGCATGGTCAGTTAAACTCCCGTACCAGCAAAGACAATTGTTGATTGAGAAACTGATCAAGGAAAGGGTGATATGATTCCCTGCCTTCAATAGGCTGAAATATTTTCCTCATGAAGATTGTCACCTTTATCAGAGTAGCAGTGATGGGATTTTTCTTGAAAAATATTTGCCCATACACTGAATGCATGACTCCTCCATTGAGAGTGAAGGAGTTGTGTAACTTTT